AAAGGAAAATACAAAACATTATTATTGGTCTTAAATTAAGCTAATAATCAGATGGATTTCTGTGTGTTAAACAACCAGTTTGTTTACTAATCGTAAGTTTCATAACAACATAATTGTGAAGCATGAAATTAAAAAGGTAAGCATATCTGACTGTAAAAATAAGTCTGAAAATACATATACCATTACAAAGTGTCATTACAGGTGAAAGTGAAGTAGGAAAGTGGCTCATGTCATGTTATTTGACACTAAATATTACAAAATAAACAAATAAATAAAATCTATTTATTTGATTTCAGCCTAACACTCATATAAACTAATTAGCAATTAAAATTTTAATTTGTATTTGATAACCAACATTAATCAGATTATGATTATTGTTGAAATTCATGTGAAGATGGAGGATGTTGAACATTTCTCTTCAGCGTTCCATGCATTTGTCTGAATGTTGCTTTTTTTATGCTTACGTTTTTATTAGTTTAGCGCTTTTCTCAGTCGGTTGCGCTTTCATTACCATGGAACGATATCGTGTCTTCCTTGTAAAAACGGTGTCGTCTGGACGGATATGCATGAACTCACGGGTTAAATAGGTGAGCTTCATTATGAATGATCATAACTGAATTTCAAATATTTCTCAAGCTTAATTCTTCAGTGCTTTCACCACTGAATCCAACATGGTATCTAGAGCAGGTTCAATCATGGCGATTTCCCCATAATCGAGTGAAGGCGAGTTTAGATCCGAGTTTTGGGAGCTAGAATTTCAAATCACTGATAAAAAATGGAGTAGAGTAGCGAAAATCCTTGGCCGCTGTTAAACACAACTAGAGCAGGATCGTCTTTTACTTTACGGATCAGATCACCCTGGTATGACGCTCGTGTCAAATCCGTTGAGTGGAAATAATTTTTTATCTTGGAAGAGGGTTATGATCATTGCTCTCGGTGAGAAAATGAAACTTAGCTTTGTTAATGGTGAAGTGCGAAAACCTAATGAAAATAATGAGAATATGCGATCTGGAAGAAAGTAGATTGGATGGTTCTATCTTTGTTGTTAAATTCTCTCTCAAAGGGCATAGCCAAGTCCTTCATTTATGTTGATACTTTTAAGGACCTATGGGAAGATATTTGTCAGAGATTTGGGAAAAATAATAGTCCAATGAAGTATAAATTGTAGAGGAAAATTTCTAATTCAGTTCATGGTAACAACTCGATTATGGAGTATTTCAAAATTTCAATAAACTCGAAAAGTTGTGGGATGAATATCCTTGTATTGCTCCTGTTCAAACTTGTGGCTGTGAAAAGGGGAAGATAGTGGTTCAACGTGAAGCTGAGACAAAGTTAATCTAGTTTTTGATGGGTCTAAATGAAAGTTATGGCATATGAAGAATCAAATCATGTTGGATCCTTTAAATTCAGTGAACAAGGCCTATTTTATGATATTAACTACAAAAAGGCAGAGAATGGTTCAAAATGTATATGGAGAAAAGGTTGAAAACATAGCTATGGTGGCTGAAACAGATGGTTATGGAAAAGGGAACTATGGACATGGAAGGGGGGATATAACAAGGGAAAAAGAGTATACTTAGGTGATCAATGGAGTGGAGGTAAAGGAAAGTAGAATAACAGGTTGAGTAAAGAAGAGAAATCTAGACTTCAAATGTGATAAACATGGAATGTAAGGTCACACTGGGACTACCTGTTTCAAGATTCATGGTGTACCTAATTGGTACAATGAATTGAAAGATCAAAAGGGAAAAACTTTTGTGAATAGTGCTGAAGTGATGGAAAATTGAGAGGATCATAGGCAATGAGCAAGCCAAAATAAAAGTGTTAAACATAAGTATCTCTCCACAATGATTCACCATTTTCAAGAATTGACACAGTTTTTCAAGTGAAAAGAAGGACAAGGAAAGATGGATTATGCTCAATTTGTCAGCTTTGCAAGTAAGAAGTGAAGTGGTGATGTCCATTTTGTTTTGTCTACTTTGAACGTTGTAGATAAAGGAGAGTGGGTCATTGACACAAGTGCTAGTAGACATATATGTACACAGGCTGAAATGATGAGAAAGTTCGAAAATTTTGACTATTTTAAACTTAAAAATTACTACTAACATTTTATTTGTTATCCATTTAAAGTGTGTTTGGTAAGCACCATAAGGTAGTATATAGCCTATTTGGATTATATTTGGTAAAACTAGCTGATAGCTGATAAACTAATTTATAGCTTATGTGTGATTTTCGAGCTTATCACTTCTAACTTATGACTTATAGCTGAAAAGATAGCTTATATGATAAAAGTATTTGGTAAAATTAGCTGATAAGCTACCAGAAATAAAAATTTCAACGAGCTTATTTGAAAAGTTACCTAAAGAAGTCTATGAGATAAGCTCGAGTATTTTTAAAAAACTCGTCCTACCAAACCAAGCTTATTTGAATACATGAAACTTATAAGCTAACCAAATAAGTTTTAAGCTAGCTTATATGCTTACCAAACACAACATTGGTTAGCTTATAAGTTTTTTGTATACAAATAAGTTTGGTTTGATAGGACGAGATTTTTACAAAGCCCAAGCTTATTAGTTCACCTGACTTGTCAGCTAATTTAACAAACACCTTTTTCATTTAGTTAGCTTGTTAGCTAGTTTTACCAAACGCTTTTATCATATCAGTTAGTTTTTCAATCATAAGCCGTAGACTATCATCTATAAGCTTAAAATTCACTTATAAGCGAACGACAAGCTTATCAACTATGTTTTACCAAAAGTAGCCTTAAGGCCCTTTACTTATCAACTAATTAATTTATCAATAAATTTTAATAATTTTTATATCGACTAATTTTCGAAATCAGTTATTATGATCAATTAGAATTTAGATTTAATGGTGTTTATTTATAAAATTTTTTAAATATTCAATCCATACTCAAAATTTAACTCAAATCAAGTATCATCAATAATATCAATATAATTAAATAGTACTAATAAATCATTCATACAAATCACATCAACTTTAATTCACTATTCATCCACTCACATAATGTTAATCAACTATCACTTTACTTCATATCTCTGCTACTGTTACATCAAATCAACTATAATTATTTTATTTGACTATTATTTCAATATAAACTTAAAATTCTACTAACAACTAATTATACTATATTTTTAAAATTAACTCTAGTTAACAAAAAAAAATCGATTTGAGCGGATACGTCTTTAATATCCTCTTCTTATTTACCACGAATACCCTCGACGAAGGTTCATTCCTAGTTACAAGCGTCAGGGACAAAGCTGTCAAACGGAAGATACGCACACTAGAAAAATAACATAATTTTCTAATCTAAGTACAAAATCAAAACATCGCAAAATTTCGAACCCCAAATTAAACCAGTTGGCTAGGGTTTCTCGATACTGCAAGACAAACGAAAAGCGCTGTTCCTTTGAAGGAACTCATCCGCTGTGTCGTGCGCAAGAAAGAAGATTGTTTTGCCGGTACGTGTGCTACATTCATGTTTATGCGCCTAATTTCGATTGAGCTTTGAGTATGGTGCGTGTCGATTTTAGGGATGTTGAGCATTTGGTTTTGCTTAAGCTCGCATCTGTTTAACAGTTGGAATCGCGTGGTTTTTGTGGAGTTTGTGATTGAATCATGTTAAGAGTTATAGTTGTTTTTCTTTCTATATTTGTTGTTGTGTTGTCGTTTTGAATTCCAGAAATGTGAAATGCATCTATATGAGCCGACCCTGTGAATTTACTGTAATTGTTGTGTGGTGTTACCATTGTGAATACTTGGTTGCTTAAGCTCACATTTGTGAACAGTTGGAACAACGTGCTTTTGTGAATGAACCAAGTTAAGAGTTTCCCGAGCGCAAAACTTATATATGTTTTATAATTATTGTCGTCGTTGCTTTTCTCTGGCTTGTTGTTGTGTTATCATTTTGAATTCCAGAAATGTGAACTGCTGCTAGATGAGCTTACTTTGAGAATTTATTGTGATTGTTGTCTGGTGTGGGTGGTTTGTCCATTGCAAATGGAGCTGGAAGAGTCATTGTTGACAATTCTCCTGGCATAGTGCTAATAATGGACTAGATCAAAATGGCTCAATTAAATTCTAGTGCTTCTTCTATTAGTGAAGTTCTAGAAAAAAATAAATAAATATCAAACGGCGCAATGCACCTTGGGTCGCTACGGAAACAACCTCCTTGTATAATTACAAGGGTAAGGTCTGCGTACAACTGACCCCCCAGACCCCAACCTGTTGGGAATATATTGGGTATGTTGTTGTTGTTGTTGTTGTTGTTGTTGTTGTTGTCTGGTGTGGGTGGCTTGATGTCAGGAGCTGAGTTAGAAAGACTGTTGACTTATTTGAAGGACTCGATATAGGGTAATGTAGGGGCACAGCGGAACCATCAAACTAAAATTTGACCTAGATATGAGTCATAGGGAAAGTAAGTTTTACTGAAAAAAGTCGATACAGAATGTTTTCAGAGTGAAGTTTTGGGCCCTACTTTTGTGTGCTACTGGAACATTAAAGCTTTCTATTCGTGATTTATGTACTGGGCTGATTCACGTTTATCTGCTGCATTTGTACTTTTCAGATGCCACCTTAAGGCTTAATGTGATGTCTGATCACGTTCCTCAGAACCAAGAAAATTTGTTACATTCCAAGATAATCTTTTAGTTTTCATATTACTCTTCCTCTGTTTAATCTGATCCTCACCTCATGTAATATCCCCCCACTCAAACATTGAGTGTTCAAATGCTTCATTATTTTGCTTTTATGATTCAAGTTCTTTTGCTTTGGTTCGTGGTATTCTACTTCCATCCACCCCATTTGTTCAAAATTTGAAGATTGTGCTGATGTTTTAACCAAACAGAGAATGCTAAATCTGTGACCATTCTGCCTTCTGAAACCTTCCATCTCACTGAATTGTCAAATTTTCTAGATGTCTCATCTGATATTGCCTTCTTACGGACTGGGATGGTAGAATTTCAGTGATTTTGAAGAAATAGATAAAAGCATTGTAGAACGAAAGATTGAGTAAAATAAACAAGCTACCTCTAAGATGTCTCCTTTCTTGGGGCAAATTTACGTGTAGCTTTCATAAGAATCGAGTTCTGTGGCACACTGAAAATTGTATGCAGAAGACATTTGTTTTCTCACTAAGATTGGTATATTTTCTTCTACTCAGTGTCTTGCTTCATAACTGATGTCACAACTTCTAATTGTTCAAAGGAATGGGTCAAGCTGCTGTCTTATGACTCAGCTTCAAGGCTGTGAATTATTCTGAATGAGAAATGGTTTTGTTAGATCCATCTTAAGTTGCTCCTTGATCAGTTCATTCACTGTGCCTGTCATTAAATAACTGCAGGAAGTTACAGACTGGACCTGTATTCAAGGAAGTGGAATTAATCTTTTAAGCAATATATCAGTCTAATTATGAAACCTGTACCTTTTGACTCATCGGAAAATTCTTAGTGCATCATTTTCTGTTGTTTCCTAACGGATAATTATTTATCACCAAGATTATGATATCCTTGTTATTTGTTTCTCATTTCTCATTATTTTTCCGCCCCTTCTATACTTGCTTGTGGATGTATTGCTCCTCACGAATTATATAGACTGCATGTTTGACCTTTTCCTTTACTCCGGCATCAATCATTGTCCATATATCAAGATATTCACTGCTTCATTATTTTGCACCTGCTGAGCATCATGTTCCTACTCTGAAATTCAGCATTCTTGCCTTTTTCTGTTGGACTACATTTTTTCATCCCTTGTTTTAGAATCGTGCACTTTGAAACTCCTTTGAGTCATACCTCATGGAACCTAAATTCAATCCAAATTCTTACTTCAGAGCTCCTTATGGTCTTTGTTTCTTTGTTTTTTCTTGGTTACTGCTGGTCCACATTTTTCTTCGTTCCTTCACAAATGCATCCAGCTTCTGCTTTTTTCACATAGCTTGCATTAGAAGCTTGTTATATTGGAGTAAAAGATGCCAATTACACGATCCAGTGGTGCAGCTACTAAGTCTGCCGAAGCTGAAGAACGTATTGAGCTCGGTTCATATGACATGGAGGAGACCTTAGAGGAAGAGGTTGAGTATGAAGAAGTAGAGGAAGAAGTTGAAGAGGAAGAAGAGGAAGAAGTTGAAGAGATGGAGGAAGAGGAGGAAGAGGAAGATGATGTTCATAGACAAGATGCGCGAAAGGAGCTTGATAGTGATGATGACATTGGAAGTGCTGAAGCTGATGAGGAGTTGGAAAAGAAACACGCAGAGCTTCTTGCGCTTCCTCCACATGGTTCAGAGGTGTATCTTGGTGGGCTTTCACCTGCTACATCTGAAAACGACATCAAGCGCTTTTGTGAGTCGATTGGCGAGGTTACAGAGGTAAACACTAGTTCGATGTTTATGGAGCATGTTTGTTTATCCCCTTCTGTAATATGTAAATGTAATTTTTTGCATGGACCTGCATGGTGCTGACAGGTTAGAATAATGAAGGGAAAGGACTCGAAAGAAAATAAGGGGTATGCTTTTGTAACCTTCAGGACCAAGGAACTTGCTTCTAAGGCTATTAATGAGCTTAATGGTTCTGAATTGAAGGTAATCAGATTGTTTGCTTGTACACACGCGGATATAAAGTAACATGTATAATGATAAAAGAAGGGAAGATTCACAATTATATGATCCATTCTTCAGCAGATTTGTGCAATGTTACTTGTGAAATGCCACTTTAATTGACAAAGAAAGCTATGTTCGTTGTATTTATTGATCTGTGTTTTGCAAATTCTCAGGGGAAAAAGGTGAGGTGTTCGTCGTCTCAAGCAAAACATAAGCTGTTTATTGGTAATATCCCCAGAAACTGGGGGGAGGCGGATATGAAGAAAGTTGTGAATAAAGTAGGGCCTGGTGTTGTTGCTGTGGAACTTCTAAAGGTTAGAATATTTTTCTGTTTTGGCCTTGTTCATCATTTTTTGAAATGGTTTAGTTGATGTGGTTGGTCCCGATTTATCTTGTATATCAATGGTAATATGTGAGTTTATTTTCCTAGGACCCACAAAACTCAAGTCGGAATCGAGGATTTGCATTCATTGAGTATTATAACAATGCTTGTGCTGAGTATTCAAGGCAAAAAATGTCTAATCCAAAATTCAAACTTGATGACAATGCTCCTACTGTGAGCTGGGCAGATCCAAGAAATGCAGAATCTTCGTCTTCTCAGGTTTTTTCCCCTTGTTATTTCTTCATTCATTGTTCCACTTTTCTAGATGATTAGCTGGCATGCTACAATCTGATCATTGGTGTTCTGATCGTAATTAGTGTTTAAGCCAAATGCATGTTTAGGTTTCTTCTGTTTTTGATTTTTTGAATGATTTCAAAAAGTCAGCCGGAAAAGTTCTCAGTTTAAATTTATAAGTGAGGAAAGGCACTGTGCAAGCTTGGAGCACATTAATTTCCTTTTACCTATAATTTTTTCCTTGAAACTTTATGGTTTTCTGCAAAAATAAAATCCATGTGTCAGTTTACAAGATACTGATTAGGTTCTTGCCGCACAGATCAAAGCTGTCTATGTAAAGAACTTGCCGAAAGATGTAACTCAAGATCAGCTTAAAGACTTGTTTGAACATCATGGGACGATTACAAAAGTTGTTCTTCCTCCAGCTAAACCTGGACAAGAGAACAGCAGATATGGTTTTGTGCACTTTGCGGACAGGTCAAGTGCTATGAAAGCTCTAAAGAACACAGAGAAATATGAGCTTGATGGTAAATACCCGACCCCCTAGTGGTAGTAGTGTTGTGGACTTAGGGCTGTTAACGCACAGAACTTTCGCGAACAAAAGCTCGTTCGTTTTCGACAAGAGCTCGTTCGTTTGTTAATCGAGCCGAGTTCGAACATAAAATAGGGTCGCTTTATAATCGAACGAACACGAGCTTGTTCGCGAATGTTCGTCGCGAACATTATTCTATTTATAATATAATTTTTATTTTTGTATATTTACATGATATTTTTAATTCAAAATAAAAAATAATAGAATATTTTATTTAATTTTTTTATTTTCGAGTTCGAAAGAACAGATTTCGAGTTAATCAAAGCATATTTAAAAAGTTTGTATCTTAAATTATTCGAACACAAACTTACTTGAACTTTGACGAACAATTAAAATAACGAGCTCAAAAAACGAACGAACACGAACAGTGTTCGAATATAAACGAACACGAGCTCGAAATGCCCAAGCTCGGCTCGTTCGGTTCGATTACAACACTTGTTGTGGTCCTTGCTTGTAATAATCCAATAGAGATTATTTTGCTTCTCTAATCCTAGATTTGGGTTTCTTTGAACAGGACAAGTACTAGAATGCTCCCTTGCAAAGCCTCAGGCGGATCAGAAAACGACTGGGATATCAAGTTCTCAGAAAGCAGCTATATTACCGACCTATCCACCTCACATGGGATTTGGCTTGACACCCTTTGGGGCTCTAGGTGCCAGTTATCCTGGTGCAGGCTTCCCACAAGTAAGGCATCTTGTTTTCTCAGTTTTGCCCGTCATCTCTACTTCTCTCGTGTACAAACAATGCCAAAGAGCTACTCAACATGAGAAGATATTTCATTCATAAAACGTAAAAGTGGGTTGTTACATGTTTTATAAATTAAGTTAATTTAGATATGAAGTTAGAGCCGGAAAATGTCTCACGATTCATCATTTTGCTGTGTCGTTTTATAAATTAGCTTCTTTTGGTAAGTTTCACTTTCACTTACCGTAATCAAACACGACAAATTTGCATTGAGGGACAATGTCAATCGATACCTTATATGCCCGATCTCTCTTCTAACTGCCATCTCAATCTACCATCAAACTTAATCTTCCACCAAATCCAAATATATGTTATTTAGGTTAATTTTACTCTTTATCACGATTTATTGACTGGTGCATACATTCTGTAATGCAGCCACTACTCTATGGAAGTGGAGCTTCTCCTGGCATGGCCATGATGCCAATGCTTATGCCCGATGGCAGGATTGGATATGTCTTGTAAGTGAAAACTAAAGATGTATTCAATTTAGATTTTTTAAGGCTTTTAAAAATCTCGAGGTATTCATTTGAGATTTTAAAAAGTTTTACAAAATCTTGAGGTATTTAACTTTAATATGATACTAGTATTTGTCGAGACTTTTTAAGATTTGTTGAAATTTCAAAAGAAAAAACTATATACGAAAACATATACGAAATCTCTCTCCAAACATCACCTTCACACTTGAGATTTCACAGTATTTTGAAAATCTCAAAGTCTCAAAATATCACTTGAAATCCTACGAACGACTTATATAAGATTCCTATGAAGCTACAGTGAACAATGTTTCGTGATTACCATGAATAAATCATTTGAAACTAAAAAGATAAGCACATAGAGTGTTTTTTTAGTGATTTAGCCTAAATTGCAGTAGGTTCCCAAGTATTTTTCTAATCCATATCATGAACAGGAACAAAAATTGGGCGTCAACTGTAAATGGTAACTGAATTTTATTTCTTTATTTTTCTAATGGTTAGGCAACAGCCGGGTTTGCAGCCACACATGCTTCCGCCACCTCAAAGTGGCGGCGGTCGGGGGCGGAGCAGTGGCAGCAGCTCTTCTAGCGGCGGAAAACGTGTCGGCAATAGTGGTCGTGAGCGTAGCCGTTATAATCCTTATTGATTCTCCTGAGATAATTATGTATTTTTTTTATTATTCATCAGAGTTTGTTTATAACTATTGGGTTGGACAAGCCCGTGTTTGCTTGCGATCTGGTTGTGGGTTTTGGTAATGGGGAAGAAAAACGTTTATTAGAAGCATTTGGGGCCGATTGAAATATATTTATTTTTTACCCATTTTTAACTCAAACTCTTAACTTTATTTTGATTAATTTGAATCTCTTATTTTTATCAATAAAATCAAATAATCATCCGTATACATCAAATTAATAAAATTCACTAGTTTTTCATTCATATATTTTAACTACCCATTTAGAGTCACTTTTCTAGCCAACCAGCATTTTCTTTTTTCTAGGGCCTTCTCTCTTTTTCACCATTATCTTTTGTCTTGGCAAAGTCAAGTCTTACTCTCCATTCATTGCTTTGGAATATACTCTGCCTTATCTTAAAGGTACTAAAACTGCTTATTAAATCTTACTTTTCGCCTACTATAGTAGTGCGAAGCATAGCGAACAGGGAAGGGATCAGTAATTTTAAATTACAATAATTTAAATTATTATATTTTAAATATTATTTTAATATAAATTCAACTCATTTTATCCACATTGGGGAACAGATGGGAAGTTCGCCCGGAAGTTCTTTGAATAGATTGATTGTTACGAGCGAATAAATTCAATCAAACTAATTTTTTTTTTTTAATTTCCAGTCACCCCTTGATGCTTGACAGATAAAACTCAACATGAAAAAAAATATATTAGTGATTTATTTATTTTTTAATAGGGAACATTACATTTTAAGGAGGTGACTGGATATCAATGGCCATTAGATGGTGTGATTTACTTGAGATATCAAATGGCTATTATTCTTCCTTTTGTGATTAAAAGAGTTTTGAGGTTGATTAGGGATAGTTGTCGTGACATGAAATATGAATACAAGACAACGTTATTATCAAAACACGATTAAAAAACAAATGACACAATGGAGTTCCAAAGCTACCAATCTCCACATTTCTTGTTTTCAGAGAAACAGTTGCAACTTGCAATAACACTATTGATCCGGATTAACACCTTATATTGAATAAGCATTACACAACATTTGACTATGATACCCAATATTATTTATCTATAAATCATTTTATGCTACTGAGATAATTTTGTATGACCCGCCAATAACAAAAGTAATAAATATTGGAGAAATTTGTGTGTTCAGCATCCAAAGTTTACCCAAATTACAATGTCAGATATGGGCAATCGTACCTAAAATACAGAAGTTTGATGAAAAATTGCAGATTCAGTGCCCAAATATCTATAAACTTGCAATGTCAATACCCAAAGTTTGAACAATAAAAATAAAACAAAATGTAAATGTAGTACCCCAACCAATTCACAATTTTCCCAGAGTTATAATGGCGATATTAAATCTATAAATTTTTCGAATTTCAGATGCTGAAAATTCAAATGCCCAAGTATTGGGTACCGATCCTGTAATTTGGACAAATTTGGGTATTAAAAAATCTGTTTTCTGTAAATATCATAAAGATCTAAGATGTAAGATCCATTTAGATTTATTATAAAGAACAAAAATACATAGTACTACTTTAGGAATAATAACTTCCACGGGTGCGCAAGTGATTCACGAACAAAATAGACATCAGTTGAGCAAAGATTTTTGTTTATTCGACCCCATGAATAACTGATATAAATGTCATGAACAAATGTAGAAACTGAGCTTTCAGACCACGTGTTTTGTTCCAAAACTAATGTGAAAGAAGAATGAACTCTTATATACGACAAAATCTAGTGCTTCGAATACCACAAGAGGAATTGAAGGGGGAAAAATATTTCAAGTGAATAGGATGATCTCTGAGGTGAGGAAGGTTAATAGGCTCAAAATGTAAAAGAAAATGAGCGGTTTGGCAGGTTGGTGGGATTCTTTGAGGGTGAATGAAAATCATTTGAGTAATTGGTGGGGAAAACGAGCTGAGAAATGCAAGAGTTGAAATAAAGAGAATCAATATACAATATTACCAAATATATACGATGTACCAACCACACAAAGATATAGTAAATCAAATAAATCGACCTAATGAACCTATAATAATTCCTAATAGGAGGAATTGAAGGGACAAACCATTTTGTCGAATAGGTAGATCTCCGAAATGAACGAGAAAGTTAAAGAGATGAAGAGCAAAAGCTTGAAAAACGAGTGGTTGGTTGTAGCCTCTAAGAACAAATGCAAACCTTTTTGATAAAATGGTGGTGAAAATGTGCCAATAATGGAGGATTTTGAAGACTATGAGGCAGGGCTCCTCGTTGCTACTTCTTCACCTTCAAAAAGACGGCATTCCCTGACATTACCAAAACAGATAAGCCAGCCACAAATTCCACTAGTTCAATAATAAGCCCAAAAAAAGTCATGCTCCATGCATTTTCATGGGGGGAAAATATAACGGAAAAACAAAGTACTGTTTTAGGATAATAAATTCCTCGCTTGCGCATTTGATGCACATACAAAAAATATCTTATTCGAGATACTAATCAACACTACCATGGAAGTATTTCCTTAGCGCAAAAGTAGGTGACACCATCAAAACATTGCAACCTTTTTGCTATCATCAAATTACCTTCAAGAATTTAGCTATGTTTGTATGACCTATAAGTAGCAAACAAAAATACACCTTGACTTTTATCCTCCTTTCCACCTAATGCCTCCTGGGTACTTTTAGGCACAGGTTCGATATAATTGACGAGATTCGATGCAATTGACGACTGAAAAAATCAAGTTTTTATAAATCGTGATGGCAGACCATTTGATCAACAAGATCTCTTCCGAACACTTCTACGAGGAAGGGGGTCGCCAACTCGGTTGAGCACAACAGATAAGAAGAAAAGAAATTGAGTAGGATTCGCATGCGCAATATAAAATACATCACATTTGAATTGGTTTGTCCAAGTCTCTGACCATAGTGAGTGTCATATAAAATTTCATTTCTTATGATTATGAATACTCTGTCACATGTAATAATACACAAAACCCTTTAAGCCTGTGAATTACCTTTTAATCACAAATCAACATTTTTGCATGAAAGAAAAGGGATATGCAAACACAATTGAGCTCAACTGATTTTATAAAAGGATAAACAAAAGAGAGAGCTGGTTAGATCAGAAAAAAAAACTCCAGCTCATACAAAAATAACCAGATCTCATGAGTGTGTGTGTGTGTGACCGATATATATGACCAAAACATATCCTTTTTCTCACAGCAGTGCATTTTAACTTGTGGTGTGGTGAGGGAGTGATTTCTGCATGGTGAAATTACAGAAATGGTCCTACGAAATGAAATTATATTGATTGTGTAATCATCTCATAAGGTTATGTGCTTTTCTCACCTGGGAGAAGACAATATTCCCCGCTGCATTTCCATTTCAGATCGCCCACAAGTTCTGATCATCCAATAATAAGCTCATAAGTCACACTCCCTGTATTTTGAATTGGGAAAAAACAGAAATACATATTACTGTTAAGAAATAATAACTTCCACGGCCGCGCAAATGATGCACAAACAAAATAAATGTCAGTTGAGCAGAACTTTTCTTATTCAAGATACTAATCAGTTGCTCATTAGTGCGCATAGGGAGGTGACACCGTCAAGAACCGATATAAATGCCGAGAACACATGAAAACAAAAAAAAAAGAACTTCATATGTTTTGGAAAAATTAATGTGATAAAAGAATAGCGACTCTTGTAATAATATAATATCCCTTAAGACTGCCTCTTCCAAGATTCAGACAAAGTAATATTTTCGAGTAATCAATTCCAGCTGTTGCGCAAATGATTCACGGACACTATTAGTGGAAAGTTGCACAAAAGTTTATCTTATCCGAAAACGAATACACATTAAGCGATGTCAAATGACATTTCGTAAATTGGATGTAGATCGAAAAGGGAGAAAAATGAACTTGATTTCTTAACAAAGAGCCTTTTCACATAAATGAATAAGACATGAAGCAGTAAATCGAGATTGATACTATGCAACTCACGATCTTCATTGGCACAAAAATGAGGACACAAGAAGCTCTTACACAATTTATGATATCATTCTCTTTAATATTAATATAGAGCCACTTTAATTTTTTGAATCTAATTGATTCGTTAAGTTATTGTCAAATCTTTTTTCCTTTGCTGGCATACCTACTCTGGCAAGTCATATTAAGTACACCATCTATGATTTGGTAATTTGATGATCATTATGAGATATAATATAATTCTGTGCTTATAACAATAGTGCCCCTATACCATTCTGTATAAACGTACAATAAAGCCCATAACCTCACTGTACCTTACGCCAGTTGCTTAATCCATTTCACATTATATTAATCCAAAAACATAACAAAACAAAAAAAAAAAAAACACGAGCATGTCGCTCAAGTGGTATCTTACTCTTTATAATGAACCGAGGACAAGGGTTTTCCACAAGATTAAGCGACTAAGAGTTGTACAAATGAGTAACATATACCGGCACCAAGTATCGCTATATCTGGACATTATACGCAAAATTGCACCAAAACGGGTACAAATATCGTTGTACATGCAAAATGTGTTTTAGCATTAACTTAAAAGCTTGCTGCAATTTTCTGAACTTCTCAACCACTAGGATACTTAACCAAATCAAAAGTCGAGATTGAACTAGTTATCAAAGTTCAATTTTCTTGAGACACTTAAATCTAATCACTTACACATCCTCAGAGTTGGCAATTTTCACGTCCGTTGCAAAATTTGGCATGATGAAAACAGGACATCCATACATCAAATCATTGGGTCCAATTGGTTCCCAATAAAACAAACATGATGAAACAGAAATAAGCAAAACTTACAATTTTGAATTTCATTGAACTTCAAGCCATGTCGAGGTGCATCGTGGGCCAGATGTGGGTTGGGAGCAGTGAGGAAGTACATTATAAATTATAGGATATAGAAAGTGGGAATTGGAGAAATGTATTCTCTAAATACAAAATAATTGTAATGAACGTATAAGCATTACTAGTGAAGAAAACAAATCAAGTTTGCTGCATTTAACATCAATAACCATAGACCACCATCTATTTAAAACCAACGAGCCTCGTCAGCGCAAAAAGAGGTGTCACCATAAGGATTTCAATATAAATGTCACGAAACGCATGCAGAAATCTAAACTTGCATATCGGGCATGTTTCATGGAATCAATATGAAGATAAAAAATGCAACTCTTACAGAACACATAATTGTGGCTAAATTGAACAGAACTTCAACATCACTCTAGGTTTGACATTG